TAAAAAATGTATGTATGTATGTATGTATGTATGTATGTATGTATGTATGTATGTATGTAAAGTATCCAGGGCTCCTCCAGGAGAAAGAATGGTATAGAAACTATGTTCATTATTGACAATAACAACAATCACTGGGAGATCCAAGAGTGCCTACTATTGATCTAGATAGAGGTTCCCCCATTTTATTCGGAGGTATTGGGTTGTTTGGTCTACACCCTCTAGAACTTTAGAAGATCCTATAAACATTTTCAACATCAAGTCAAGATGACTGGCAACTCTGAGCTAGAGATGGTGGCAACTTCTACCCAACAGCCACATGCAAGCCCCATCCCCTCTTCTGGAGGTTCCCCCTCCAAGATTACATTGACAAAATTTGACAGTAAATTGCCAAACTTCAGTACCATGCTTGTTCACATCTGTACAATCATCTATCTAATGCCCTATTAAATGAATTCAGGCAGTTTACTTTTCCTCTTTGAAAAGTAAAAGTCAAAATAGGTGGAATAACCCTCGGCTACCTTCATACATATTTATTTAATTGATTTATCCTTTCTACTCAAACGAGTGCTCATTTAACACCCTTTTCTTTACTCAAAGACACCCCCCCCCCCATAATAAGCTCAACTAAACATTCCAGATCTGCCCAGTCTCCTGCCCTTGGGGGGAGCTTTTTTAAAAAAACATGCAGCACCCACCCACAAAAAGCCCACCCCTTTTTCTATGTAGTTATGGGATATTAACGCTCCTCACTAGGAAGAAATTGGTTTAATGTGCTACAATATCTTTTTCTTTCAGCTTTGATGAAGAATGAAGTCATAATAGTGAGCAATACCAAGTATGTGTATGCAAAGAGGGGAGGAACCAAAGTGATCCTCTGCAGAGTTAGAGTAACAGAAGGCAGATCGACAAAAACAAGGATTTATATTACCTCGTTTATGTTGATGGCCTTTTCAGTGCCGGATTGGCACGCTGCTCTCTTTGATGACTGACACCCTGAAGAGCCAGCTGTTCATTTGTTTTTCTATTTGGCTCCCTGTTCAATAGGGATTTGGGGTGGGGGGGGCAAAGAGAGAACATGACAAGCATTGCTATTTCTCTGCTGGCAAGATGAAAGGGTCACAGAGAGGGTGGAATTGTAGCTCCATGGTTGATCATGTAGTTGGTGAGCTAAAGGTTCTACCTTCAGTTCCTGGTGTTTCCAGCCCCGATTTCCTTCCTGAAATCAGGAAGATTTCATGGACCTTGCCTATCAGTATGAACTACAGGTCAAAAAGAGCTTGCCAAGATTCTTTGGTTGCCCCCAGAACTCCCCAAAGGCCAGTGGAAACAACATTTGACCCTTTCTTCACTTTAAGAGAGACTTACACCTTGCAGATGTTTAAGGCACCTATTTCATACTTCAAAGTTAACCCTACTCCCAAAATGAGCCCTGGTCGCACCAGTTTGGAAGTATAGCACTCAATATGCTATACAAAATTTTGTATGACCCTTGAACTAATGAATGTTACACCCTGTCGCTTGAAGTAGACCATGGTGAGGAATGAAATCCAGCCCCAAGGCTATGCCAGGTTGGTTCTGTCAAGTGATAAATTGTTCTGTTTCAAATATGTCCCTAAGCAGTGAAATCAATAATTATAGCATCCTAAAGCCCATGTTTTCTCCAAATGTAAAAAAAGGAGACTTTTGAAACTAAATCCCTTCTTTCCTTAGCAAGAGCCTAATATACCAATGATAAATATCTTGCACACAACACCAACTTGCTAATTTTTTAAAAAACCATTGCTTTTTAAACATGGATTCTTAAAACATACATCCTTATTACAATCCATCTTGTACAACCTTTATTAGACACTATTATAGCACAGAATGATCCTTCGTTACCTTTTCTTTGTGTTCCAAGCTCCACAATGGCCGAAACATTAATAGGCAACTTCAAAGACTGGATTTTTCTTCAGCTACCATGTTTAAATGGCAAAAATCTGGTCACTGTCTAGTTGGAAGCAAAGAATTAGATTTCTCCGTATTAATTTGCTGCCGTGTGCTAATTGCCCGGATTTTTGCAGCCCAGATATGGTGACATTTGTTTTTCTGCAGCAGGGCAAAAGGAGAAAACAAAATCTGAAATGTTTGTTAAAACAGAGGGCCCATGATCCAAATCCTTAGTTATTGACACTTTAAATTATTTGCATCCTGTCATTTGTAGAGTTGACTGGAAATTGGCTCCTCTTAGAATACTAAGATAAGGACTGCTGAATTGCACACATCTATGCTATGAAAATGACTTTATTTCCCTACTATGAGTGTAGGATAGATTTCATTCAGAGAGGGAACACAGCACTTAGACCCAATCATTTTGAGCTGCCAAATTAGCACCACTGAATGAAACCTATTTATATTCTTTTAAAAACAGCGTCTTCATTTTCTTTGAATTCCTTGGAAAGAAATACGGTGAGGTTTTAGTTCCCTGATCTTGAGAAAGGCGGGATATAAATGTAATAAATAAGATCCATATTTTTAGGAAATGCTCCTGAAACGTCTCTGACTGTGAAAATGCAATAGTGGTGAGAGTTTGAGTATTGCTGAAAGCAGAGAAGTATCAGTAAAAACATGTATAAAGCTCATACAGTTGCATAAAGTTTGCAAATGCAGATTTAGAGATGATTGTCCTTTATGTCAATAGAAAAATAATGTATCGAACCTTACAAGTGAAATCTGTAATCTTTGGGTGGCAAACTCCTTCTCTTCCTTTTATAAGATTCTATTATTATATATACTGTATGAGATAGATAGATAGATAGATAGATAGATAGATAGATAGATAGATAGATAGATAGA